CTGTCCATGGAGTTTTCTTGGCAAAGATACTGGAGTGGCTTGCCAATGCCTGCTCCCGGTGGATTATGTTTAGTCAGAACTCTTCACTATGACCTGTCTGTCTTGGTTGTCCCTGCATGGCATAGCCCATAATTTCCCTGAGTTACTCAAGCCCCTTTGCCACGACAAGGCAGCAATCCATGATAAAGCAGCTAGACAAGGACAAAGAATGCAACACGTACCACATCTAGCTTGATCCCAAGTCATCAAATTCAGTTGCTTTTTCCTTATTATTTCAGAAATGCCAGATTCCTTTTAATCATCATCACCATCATTTTAGAACTGCAGAACTGGAAGAGACTCTAGATATGGGCACAAATCTCGCCCACCTTCTGGCTGGATCCCCCACTCTGCAGGCGGTGCATGCTCCTCTACTCCTCCTCTTCAGCTGTTTGACCAATCTCTGGCAGGAGCACAGACTCCCCTGCCCCACCTCCTTTGTGGATCACCCACTCAGATATGGAGGCAGGGCAGGTAAATCCATGCTCCTGTCTGGTTGAACAGCTGAAGAGGAGGAGGAGAGTAGTGTGTGCTGGCTAGTGAGCGGATCATAGTGAGAGGGTCATTGGCCAGGGAAGCAGGGCAAGGGAACGCATGGCAAACAGACGCTAGCTAAGGAGTCTCTGCTGGTGTTCTTCATTGCCTGTCAGTTATGTGATTTGGTATATAATGAAGAATACCAGTGGTGACAATGGCCAGTGGCCATTTTGCTACTGTGGTTTACAATCATTGCAGTTACTCTGGTTTATGTAAGGGACTGATTCCTAACATTTATTTTTATCTTATGCCAAGCATGATAAAATGTGAACTCTTGGCATATAGTTTGTAGACTCCTTAGTCAGAGTGACATGAGTCAAATTCCATGTTACATTAGTCTAAAAACAACAATTTGCAATACCTATAAAATTAATTGCCAGCTACCCCTGTATTGGAAGATAGGAAGAGTACCAAATCTGATGACCAAACCTGTTTGTAATATGAGGGATTAGATGCTTGTTGTGTTAACTGTCATGCTGGATTTACCTCAGAGTTATAATAATAATAACCTTGAAACTGCAGACCTGGAAAGGACACTATAAATCATCAAGTCCAGCCCCTGACAGTCAAGTCTAGCCCCTGACAGAGAAGCACAGTGGGGAACTGAACTCCCAACCAGAGAGCTAAACCACAGAGCTACCCAGCAGTTATTGATAGACTTGCTATGAATTCTGCTGTTTGACTGCATCTTTCTTCACCATAACCATATGACTAACACCACTGCTCAGCAATCTTTCTTTTCATTCCCCCACCCAAAGGAGCCACTTTTGTCTTGAGATCCAAATTCTCTGCTTCCCATTTCTGGGACGACTGCAGACGATACCATGTCACTGTGATCCAATATGTGGGAGAAATGATGCGCTACCTATGCAATTCACCAAAGGTAACTGGGAGAGTCCCAAATGCATTGGAAGAAAATGTTGTAAATAATTAAAATGGAAGACAGAAACAAAATTGAAAAAGATCTTGATAGGCTTGCGCAATGGACTGATAACAGAATGATATTTAACAGGAATAAGTGCAAAGTTCTATACCTGTGGTGGTGGTGGAGAACCTAAATGCACAATTACAAGATGGAGGATACTTGGCTCAGTAATAGTATGAGTGAGAAGGATCTTAGAATTGTTGTAGATCACAAGCTGAATACGAGACAACAGTGCGATCTCACTGCAAAAAAGGCAAATGTGATTTTAGAATGCATTAACAGAAGTATATTCTTCAAATCGCACAAGATACTATTCCCCTTATATTCAGCACTGGTTAGGCCTCCATCTTGAGCACTGTGTCCAGTTCTAGACACTGCACTTTAAGAAGGATGCCAACAAATTGGAGCAAGTTCAGAGAAGGGCAACAAAGATGATCACGGCACTGGAAACCAAGCCCTATGAGGAAAGATTAAAAGAACTGTGCATGTTTAACCTTGAGAAAAGACAGGGGGGTGATATGATAACATTTTTCAAATACTTGAGTGGTAATTATACAGCTGAGGGGCAGGATCCATTCTTGATCATCCCAGAGTGCAGGATTGTTTCACTGAAGCCATTATAGTTAAAGCTATTAAATGGATACAAAAAATCACAGCTAGAATCAAAAGATGTAGTCATAGGATTAGGCCCCAAGTTCTACTTCCACTGTTTTTTTGTTGTTTTTTTAATTAACATTTGCATTGGAAAGGAAAAGGAAAAAAGGAAGAAATAACACCCAGAAGAATTTGCAGTTGGAGCTGGCATCAGTAGAGCAGACATTTATGGGTAGCTAAAGTAGTAAGGTCTTCTGATCCCTGAATGGTGGAGGTATGTGTTTATCTTTCCATGCTTGAAGTATAAGTTGAGAAAGGTAACTGTCCCAGATACTTCCACCTTCACATATCTTAGTTACTCAGTTTATGACCAAAAAGAAAGGAAAATGAAAAGATCCAGATTTGATGGATGTCTTTAAAATATCTATACCTACTGTACATCCCACCATGCTATTCATGATATAGTATTTTCTTACATGCAACACAAATATAAAACAGCCAGTCAGGCAAACATAACAGGTCATAATAATTACTAACAGATAAACAGAGCAGCAAAATTGACTCATCAATCACTCCACATGCTGTTACATGCCTGGGCAGAACACAGAGAAATGCCTGGCACCTGAAAGCAGAGATATGAGTTCTGCAAATGAATTTCACCATAGAAAAGGCTCCTGATGGATGACCAGATTCCTATCTCTATAGTGGATGGGTTACAAACTCCTTGCAGTTAGCCAGCTTCATCTAATTGCAGGTGATCCATCAGTTCAATCAATCTCTTCATTTGCGGCTACATGCCTAGGCAGGCAGCAGAGATGCCACAGTGAATAGAGATGACGAAAATGTTCTTTTAAAAAATCACAACTAAAAAATCATTTGCTCTAACACCCCCAAGTGTGTCATAGAGGAAGAGCAGGCTATCTGCTACATCTGTGCCAAATTTGATGCTGATCCAAATTCAGGTTTCAAAATTAAAAAATTTTTGTTTGGGGTACCCCGTTTTTTTGAGTTGCCTTATGGAATGTTGATTTGCTCTGTTGCACAGTACATATCTATTGCACTCTCATACAACATTAATAACGCTGGTTTATTACCACAGTGATCCCCCTTGACTTTTTGCCTTGCAGAAGGACAATGACCGTGACCACAGTGTGCGGATAGCGATAGGCAACGGCATGCGTATGGAAGTCTGGAAAGAATTCCTCCGTCGATTTGGGTTCATCCAGATTTATGAGTTCTATGGAGCTACGGAGGGCAATGTTGGATTCATCAACTACACGGGCAAAGTTGGAGCTGTGGGAAAGACTAATTACTTACACAAGGTGATGGGCTGCATCAAAAGGTCACCAAACATCTTGTTCATGAATGTCCAGCTGACTGTTGTAGGGATCGACCATGGTTCCAGCTAGTCACTGAAGGGTGTATGCCTCTAGGGGTCATCCAATGTGCTAAACAAAACCCTTCATCTTTGATCCATTAGTAGAGGTAGCAGTAGGATTCCACAGAGCGCCACTCACCATTCCACATGGAAGTACAAACATCATGCTAATAGTTTCTGATTAATTGTTTGAGAAAGAATTCTTGGGGATAGAATTAAATTAGAATTCCTAGAGTCTAGAAATGAGATTCTTCTCCATGATAGCATCCAAAGAATATATTGTGAGGAGAAACCAAGGAGAGATGTTTTGAGGGCTAGATGAGGAACCACCAAGATAGCTGGGGAAGGAGAAGACTCCCTATGCCTCTCTTAAGATTTTCTACCATTCTTAGCCAAGAACGTCATAAAATGTTCAATCATAAAATAAACACTATGATTTGTGTACATTGCAGAGGCCTCTTGCCAAGAACATCATAAAATCTTTAATCATAAAATGCACTATGATTTGTGTACATTGCAGAGGCCTTGAATGTTTCCATTTCCTTTCTGTTTCTCTTTAGAAAATGACAATGTTTCAACTTATTAAATATGATGTTGACCAGGATGAGGCTGTGAGGGATGAAAAAGGGCATTGTATCCCAGTGGTTGCAGGTAAATTTCTATTTGTCACACACAATCAAATGAATATGTCTCTGTCTCATTTGTCTGCAAATCTAATCTAATCTAATCCTACTGCCAGTCTTGAGAGAGAGAAAACTTGGAGAGTAAATTTAGCATGTGCAATTGAACACATATTGGGGCAGGAAGGAAGTCCCTTTGGGGCAAAAAGTACAGACCAACAAGGACTGAATTTACTTATCAATTTACAGTACATGTTTTGCTCTTATGTGGGTAGGAAGAATGGCATGTAGTATCCTAAAGAAGGCATGGGACTGGCTGGCATCCTCTGAACTTGATTTTGCAGCATAGTGTTGCTGATCCCATGGCCAAACTATAAATTGCTGATCCGAAGAGAGAATTGTTTAAATTTTGAAGATACCGTATTTATTTATTTATTTATTTATTTATTCATTTATTTATTTATTTATTTATTTATTTATTTATTTATTTATTTAT